ACTCTGTCCTTTCTTATGCTCAGATGGAGTAATCCCATGTATGCTCAAGAAGAAGCCAGGTGCTTTTCTTTTCTTGCTGCCTAATGGATGTGGGACACCAAGACCTATGCTTTTGCTCATGCCAGCAGAGCGTAAGATACAGACTCACAAGCTGGTACTCACTTGAGCACACTGTTCCCTACAGTGCTTTTTGTGATGCCAGCAGTAAAGGCAGTGCTATGTGCTGCCCAGCCTGAATGAATGAGGTTTGTGTTGTAGAGGGTGACTAGGGTGACTTGGGTCCAAGGGCCACTGTTTGACTAGAGTATCTGTGGGGTAGACTGTTGCACAGGGTAGCCCTGTCTGAGGTGGTGCAGAAGCTGTATACCATCCTAAAATGTATATACCAGCAAGCATGTTACTCTTTGCATACTAAAGGATAATTCTGTGTAGATCTCCCCTGGTTACCACCTGAGGCAGAATTACATTTTTTCAAACTCTTTTTAAGCATATATTTTAGTGACTGATTGAACAGCATGTTCTTCTAATACACATCTCAAACATGTGGGAAGTAATGAATTCAGATGGTCATTTTTAGCTTTTTAGAATGTGACTGAAATGGGCAATCTCTGCCTCATCACCAAACATGTGAGAGCAGCAACACACACACATTACCCTAACAAAATTGGAGCACAGCCCTGTAGATTCTCCAAGTAATTTGATGTTGCCTCAGGAGACAGATAGCAATAATAAACCAGTGGAGAGCTGAGAGTCTTCAGCTTGCATTAGGAGCATGTTGGTCTCTTAATTGTCACCAGTTTTGGATTCTGTCTAACTATAGCTATTCTTAGAGGGCACATAAGGGTGAAAGGCAATGCAATTATTGCCTCCTAATATGGAGTGCAGAGGTCTTCAGCATACCCCTTTGTGCAATTTATCTCCTACACAGCAGCTATGATGAGTTTCCTCAACAGCCATATATGAGTGCTTTCACACTCTGGGATCTGTCACAGAGATAAAATGAACACAATATACAGTTTGATATTGCAGATAGTTTGCCAGCAGAACAGAGAAAGCATCAGTTTGTGCAAATCTGGTGACTAGCCTAAGTCCTTAAGCTACTGTTGAGGACTTCTAGGCAGTAGGTGAGCTGGTGTATTCCTAGGTTGATGCTGCCTGACAAACTCTGGTTATTATGGGCTTTCTGCAATGCTGATGTAGTCACATAAGCATAAAGTAAAAGTGGGTTTATCTTTAATCTGCCAAAAGGAGAGATTTGTGCTGTTCCTCCTAAGAATTTACATACTGCGTATCTGAGGCCAGGAAAGCTATTCACCCCTTGATACACTGTTTTATTATCACTTCTGTGCTGCTACTGGGTTTCCATCATAAAATAACTAAATAAACTACTTAATTTGCTGCACAAACCTCAAATTTTGCAGTTATCTTAGTACTTTTTGATGGCAGTCTCAATCATAGTGCTGCATTCATGTTAGCTTTTGGGTTTAAAGGCATTTTTATTATTCCCAGTTCCCAAGAGCCCAATTAAGAGCTTGTCTTGGCAACTTTCACTTGCAGTCCTACTTGATAAGGTGTCCTAGGACTGAACCTGCCATTTTTTTGTATGGCCTGTATTTTTCATGGCAAGTGATTACCTTCTGTCTTCTCTTGAGTTGGATGTGTGTACCTCATTGCTAGAAAGTGAACTAGTCCTTTCTGAAGACAGTGCTGCATGTGGTGGTGGTGTTACAAGTTATGACCCATGTTAGGTCACTTGGCACTGTCCAGACTGGATAGAATATTTAGGCAGAGCCAGGGTTTAGCAGGGCAGAAAGAATTCTCATTGTCCCTGTCATGTGTCCTCCAGTCAAGGAACTACCATCATGTACATGGCTGCTGCTTCAGCAGAAATGTTTGGGGTGGTCCAACAGTTTGATCTACATTTAACAGATTTTTTTGCTTATTGTTTTCTTGCATAGTAGCTTTTGTATCAAGCATCTGAAAAATATTTGTGATAATTAAATAAATAAAACCAGCATTGTAATTGGAAAGGAAATTTTAAGTATCGGATTACTTCTGGCACTATTATGAATTACTTGTTCATAGATTCCTTTTTGTTTGTTGAAAACAAACTGCAGAATTTGCAGTTCCCTGGGTCATAAAATCTCACATCACTATATGAATCTAATTATTAGACTTGTTAGAAGCAGTCTAACATGAAACTTTACAAATCTAATACTGAACAAAACCTGGCAATAATCATCTCTGTTCTTTCACCTCTTGCTAAATTCTGAGCATTTTTCTTACTTTTTCTCAAGCTTCCAGGCACCATTTTCTTCCAAGAAGTTGGATCTCCATTCTTTCTGGGTGTTCATCAGTCTCTGTTTTGGTGCTTCTGTGTCTGTCTCTCTCATTCATAACAGATACCAGTGTTGGGAATTTTACAAGACAATTGCAGTCATTGTAGTTGATGAAATGTTTTGGGGCAATATCAATTCTCTCATGCCAAAGCAAGAATATCGTGTTCAGTTTTCTTATTGCAAAACACTGAGAATAAAAAACATACTATTGTTGCAAAATATTCTGCCAGTCTTTACACAAGGTCACGTTATCTTGAGAAAATGCTTCTTGTGATTATTTCCCCAAATTAATAACCATCTTCTTTTTCTTACTTATTTTTCCAGTGTGACTGGAAATTCTAATGCCATTGTGCCACTAGTGAGTGTAGTCCTTTTACATAACAGCCTCCCTTGTTGAGTTTATTTTGCTGGAAGTTAGATAAAAAAATATTTTTTATATGTAAATTGAAGACACTTGGTCATTGAGATACAATATACATAGAGCATAATGATCGCACTTTTATAGCCACATTTCAAAGTACAAGTACACTTCATCTTTTTGACCCCTTTGTTCTAATGCTGGAAATAGATGTTAGCTGCTGAATGAGCTTCCATAATGTCACATGCAAAGTTTTTTACTCAAGGACCTAAGAATCTTATTCTATTGAACAAAAATAGTACCAATTCATCAGGAGGACTTAGAGATGCTGTGACTCTATTTAGTATCTATCATGTTAGTTGTCTGTTACATGTGTCTAGATGCATCTTTCTTAGGCATGTACTATACTGAGTTTTATTTTAGTGGTGTTAGTTCTTGAAGTATCTCTATTTAAAACTGAAAGACATATCTCTGAAGAAGTTTTTTTCTCTTTATTTTCAACCTCTGCTCACAAGAAAACTTCTACACCCAGTCCAGCCTCCACTGAAGTAACTGTAGTATGCAAAGCTCATATGTATTTTTCTCTTAGATCCTCTTCTGTCCTGTTTTCCCTCTTTTAAAGATGGCAAACTGAGATGCAGAGAAAAGTTAAGCTACTGGTCAACAAGGAAAAATACATAGTTACACTGCACTGAATTTTGTGTGGTAATATTGCATGATTTGACAGAGTTGTTATCCATTAGATAGTCTTAAGTATCATCAACAGCCTTTGATACAAGGGCTTTACTTGGGTTTTTCTCCTCTTCTTTCTAGTCATTGACCAAAACATTTCCTCCAGAATACTGTTTATTCTTTCTTTGGCCTATGCAAAGTGTAACAGCTTCAGCAAGAAGCTGAAGCCCTCCTGAAGTACCTGATGATAGCAACTCTTAAGTTCTCATATCCTTATATACTCATGAGCATGATTTTCTTTAAACGTGTAAGTTACTTAAAATGAGATTTTAAGAAGGCTATTTCTGTAGTTTGTCCATTTTATACTGATTCTTGTTAATTTTCATCATCTCTTTTCTGCCTTTGCCTCATAACCTATTGTGATTCCTAATATTACTATGACTAGCCCAGGAAGGTATGTCTTCCATGATTACTTTCACATGGTTTATGAGTTTGTAGACTGCCAGAGTTAGCTTCCCTTGTTTGCTTTGTATTTTATCTGATAGGATTCATGTGTCAAGAAAAAGCTAGGTTGTCCAATCCATTCACTAGTTCTTGCTTGTTTGTGCTCTAGTGTCAGAGGACAATTCTATTGCCTGTTGTATTAATGTACAATAAACCTGACTGTATTTATTCAAAAACAATTTTGATATTTTTAACCTATAATGCTTGTATATTATCATCATTGAGTTGTCTGAGACTACAACAGAAATGCCTGACCAAAGCACTGAGGATTTGTTCAGGATTGTTCTTTATATTTTTTATGTAATAGACAGAAAAAGGAAAAAAATAGGAACAGTATCATTATCTGGAAAGTATAATTATAACATTATTTAGCTAGATAAATATTCTGCACTGGTTCTCGGAAAATAAACTTGGTCTAAGGAACTTGTCTGTACAATTTGAGCTGGATCATTGTGGTTTTTTGTGGGTAGAATGTGGGACAAGTTTTACTTCAAAATGAAATATTCTGAAGGCCATTTGTCAATTTTAGCAAAATTGAGATTTTGGCCTAAGGGAATGGCATGTAAGTAGCTCAGTCTGAGGTATCTAAAGTATTTATTACTAAACTGTAAGAAATCCTGAGTAAAGGTGGAGCAAAAAGTCTCCAGAACAGGTTTTCATCTGCCCTCTTGTTAGTTGCTATTGAGTCTTCATTTCCAGAAGACAGTCTGTGCTCCTGTGTCATTTGTGAAGTAGCCCATAGAGCATTAATCTCCTTTGTGCTTTGTCACAGACTTGAGAAATATGCCCACCTGTAGACTAATTTGGGTACAAGCGCTAAATCAGGGTGCTTACTGGGTTAAAGTCCAGTGTTCAGGGCCTGGGTCACTCTCAACCTACATGTCACTGCAGTTAGCCCGAAATATGGATTCTGCTGCCACAAAGAGCCCAGCTGGACTCCCTTACACATCTCAGCCAGAACAGGCTGGAAGGAGGATCTGATTTATGTTGGGAACCAAACTTTGTGTGGAGTCGCTAAAGAAGAATAATACAAAATCCTTCCCTCTCTCCACCCCCCACTGTGCTTTCTGTGAAGTTAAGAGCAATAAAACATTTTAAAGCTGTCCTCAGACACCCTCATTTGCCTCGCAAAGCTTTTATTGGTGAGTATTTGCTGGCTGATACCGTAGTTTTGCAGGCTGTGTTCAGTGTAGACTGAGTTCAATAGACTGAACAGCATCTTGCATATATGATATATCACCTCGATACTAGTCAGCCTGTCTCATAAGCTAAAGTGTTTTACAGGTTGATTTCATAGTTCATTAAAAGACTTGCATCTTCCTCCACCAGCTGAGTAGCAAATGAAAATACCACTGGGTTGCAGAGACTATGCTACTAAGTAATTCTAGTCTAACCGGCCAGTGATAAAATCATTAACTGTGACAGCACCATTATTAATAATGTCTCATTCATCTCATATCCATGTTCCTTTACTTCAGCTGCTTTTTCTTATGCATATTATTTAACACTATTTAAAATTATTCCCTAAAAAAAGGGGGAATGGTTTTAATTAATCTCTTTAGAAAAAGCTCTGATGCTCTGTCTTCAAACAATTATGTCCCCAAAATTTAGACAGAAAATAAAACTAATTATTCACTTATTTCCAAAAACCATTCTTATGCAAGGCTTGATTTACCTTCATTAACATAGCAATTTACCACACATTTCAAAAGTGTTGCTAGTATTTTTGGTTCAAAATAGATACCTTAGAATTTCCTACACTATTCCATCAACACTGTTCAGACTTCAAATGCTATTTAACTTTTTCAGGTACAATAAGATTTCATTTTAAATAGATTTTGATAATAATCAATGAAGTGATAAAGTGTTAGAGCTATATTTATTCTTTTCATTTTTTTCTCAACACTTCCTTGGCTAACCGCTTTCAAACGCGTTTTTATCTAAGTAATGTGATTCTTATGAGGTAAATATTCTTTCTTCCTTTTCCCTGGAAGCATTTAGGGGCAAACTCAAATGATGTATGCAAAATGTTGGTTTCACGATGTTAAATAAAAGCAGTCAATGCAAAAAACTTGAAAATGCAAGTAACAATTTTGAGTAAGAATAAGGGGGTTTGGTTTTATTTTTTGTTTTCTTCCTTGCAAAAAAGTCTTCTAAAATAGCTTCCAGAGATCATAAAAATAAGTGGTGCTTATATAGAATTATCAAATTAAGTAGCAGATGTTTTTTCCTTGTTTTTATTGATTCCACTTCTCCATATAATGCTCATAAATGATTACCTGGGAGCATGGTTACAGCGTTTTCCAGGGACCATGGCTGTAGTAAGCTCTGTTACAGTGTAAGTCTACAATGCGCTAACAGGTTTTGAAATTTCTTCTGCAAATATGTGCCCATTTTCTAGAACAAGCCTTTGACTGTCCCTGGAGGTTGTGTGAGGCACACATGATACAATATGGCTCTGAGTCCAGCACGGTGGTTTTTACACGTTCTTGGGGAAGTAGTTTGTTGTGTCCTGAGTTACCATCCTTTCTGAAGTTCTCCCTTTTACACTAAACAAACAAAAAGCTTGGTGAAATCAGGTAAGCATGAACTGAAGAAAATGGTGCCAGCCAGTTAGGACATAACCATAGAAAGAGCAGCAGCAATTCCTCTGCCCCTGCCTGCCCTCTGCCCCAAAAGAAAGAAAAAGGAAAACAAGAAGAACCAACCTGCTAACCAAACAAAAGTTCACTCAACAGATAGAAGTTAATGCAAGTCAAATGTTTGTTACGAGGTTTAAAAGCAACAAAAGAAAGAAGCTGAAACACCTGAATGCGGGAGAGCTGAGCACGCACACGACCAATGTGATCAAGCAATGCCCGTTTATTACAGCTAAGAAAGCCCTTTTATAATGTTCTCCCGCACACGTGAGTAACATGCAGTACAAGTCCTCAAGATTGGACAGTTAACTTAGCCCGGGCTTTAAACCTTCTTATGATTGGATAAAAAGTGCCCCATCAGCCTTGCCAGGCACCTGCCCTGTGTAACTTCCTCTTCCGTCCCAACCCCTTCCAGGAGGTGTTTGTCTTGTCGAGTTTCTCCCCCCTCATTCAGGGTCACATCCTTATCGCATTCTTGCTCGGCTGAGGCTCTTATCAATCTTGTTCTCACGCAGGATTGCTCACATGTCCATTCTCTCACAGAAAGTCCTCTAGAATCCCAACAACCTGAAGTCTTATTTCCCAATAATTTCAATGGGTTTTGAGAGAGTATAGAAACATATCTGTATTATAAATATAAACACAAACTATTATGACTCTGTTCATTGGTTGGTCTTAGTTGGTCACCAATTTTCAAGGACATCAGTCCTTCCAAAATGTATGTGACTGCCATACAAATGAGTTGCTAATCTGACGGGTAGGTAGATTTGGTGCAATAGGGGCTCACTGTTTTTAGGCTCACAGTGAATAAACTTGAAAAAAAGATCTATAAAAGCAGTCAAACGCATCTTTGACCTTTTTAAAAAGGAAATAGAGTAATTAAAAAAAAAACCAACAAAAAAACCAACAACTTTTTCGATATATTTCTGAATTAATTTTCTTATTTAAGTTTGGTTTTCTTGAGATTTGTTTTGTTTTTTACTTTAGTATTAACCAAGTGCTAGCATACATTTATTTTTAATAACTTTTTAAAAACATCCCCCCAATAATTGTTCCTTTGTCCTTTTTATATTGTTTGATACTCCCACTTTAACTCATCTGATTTTATTACTAAATTGAATGTTAAAAAAAATATAGGTCTTTATGGTTCCATGAGGATTCATTAAGCTGCATCTTATAGTTCACTGTCAATACAGAAAACTTAAAGCTGTTCCTGGGGTTATTCTGTCTTTTCACATGCTCTTAAAATAGTCTATCTGCACTTAAGAGGTTTTCTTCTAGATCTCAGTCTGAGCCACCTGCCTAGGAGATAAAGTACATTTCCTTAGGCTTGAAGTCAGTTTCTGATAGACCGTAGCCAGATCCCATTTCTTATAATTTTTTCAACTTAATTTTTCCTGATGTTTCTCAATATCATGATTTTTCTCATTAACTTCTCTCCTAATGGTACCACACCACCTGAGGTGCTTTGACACTTCATTTCTACTTGGGCTGTGTATTCTGGTTCAGTGATGCAGGTTAATTCTCGGTCATCACTAGCACAGGATTATACCTTCCTGAATAAATCCCCTACTTTCCTAATGTACCAAATTACTGAAACCAATTTTGGCCGCCTCTTCACATTTCTTAGACTCATCAGTGTCTCTTGAAACCTCTCCTTAGCTTTACAGAGCAGCAGACCTCGCTGTCTGTCTTTTTATATAGGAAAACTGAACTGAAAAGGAGCAACCCAAATGCCTAAACAGGGCATCAGAGCCATACACAACATGATATCCAAGACACTAGCAGAGGCTGTGCAGGTAGAATATGTTATTAATGGTAGACGCTTCTGGAATAGCAGCTGGACAACACACAGGATACTTTAAAGCTTTAAAGCACTGGATGCCTGCTTTTTGGCTCCCAAATCACACAGAATTACTGCTCTGGAAGTGTTACATCAGGTAAAATAAATAAATAAATAAATAAATCATAGTTGCAATGCTTTTTTTAACTGCAATGTATAAAGTTGCCAAAATGTATCAGTATGTGGTCAGGCCTTCTGAAAAATCACATGAAATAATTTAAATATGGCCAAAGAAATGAAAGAAAGGCACAGGGTGTCTGTTAAGAGCCCACTAGTTCTAGCAAACATGGAAGAAAAACTTTTAACAGCAGTAATTATTTCTGAATATGCTGTGGTCCTGTACTGGATGGTGGGGGAAAAAAAAAAAGTTTACTAAAATACACACATATGCATACTTTAAGCCTTACTTTTTTTTTTTTTTTTTTTTTTTTTTTTTCCTCTTTACACTTTCTTCAGCCCAGGAGTAAAATAGCACTGAACCATTCTTATAGAATTTCATTTTCTCGTCTTTGTACTGCTGGACTATTTTGATTTCCTGATAGTACCAGAATATAGCCACTTGGAAATTTCAGGGTTTATTTTCTTGAAATTGTGAAAGCATTTTTTTGTAGAAACTAAGAGACAGCCTTTTCCTCACAGAAGGCCCTTATCTTGAAGGGGGAGGGGTGGAGAAATGAATATCCACTTGTATTAATGTTGGAAATAAAGTAAGGCTGAAGTATAATTTTCTTTCAGTGAAGCAATGAAAATGAGAAGGGATGCTTAAAAAGTGCTAATGAAGGACTCAATTATGAAGAAGCTGCAGAACTCAAAGAGCACCCAGGAAATTGCCACTTATTCATATTGTGGTGAAACACATTTGGTCCTATTGGGTAAAAATTTTTTCATGAGCCTAAGACATCATTATTTCAACTATTGCATAGCCTTGACTCCCACACACAGCTGCACTGGTATTTGGATTTGGACGTGCAGGAATAAGCATCACTGTGGTAAATATCTCCTCTTTACCCAGAATGGTTAAAAAGGGGAAGGGCAAAACCTGGTGTATCTTGGGAGTAAAAGGAAGAGAAGTAGAAAAAGATTCCTTCAAGAGTCTGATTCACAGTGCCTTCCTTGCTCAAGGCTTTAAGAGTGCTGTCTAATCTTACGTGTCGTTTCATCTGCTCTGCTTGATGGGAGAGATTACACACAAAAACAGTGAAGCATTATGCTGCTTTTAATAAGTTCTGTGTCAGTGAAGCGACATTTCTTTGTTGGAAAAAGCCCAGTAGTAATGTCAATTATCTGATACCTCTATACTAAGTATTTTCACATCCTAGTTTGAAATAAAACAGCACTTAAAGGATAGAACAACTAATGATAACTCTAGGTGTGTTCAGGGCATAGTCTCGATTAGAGCAGAGCTCTTGTCCTTTGTTTTTACTCTGCTTCCAGGCAAAGACGTCTGAAGAGATTTGGCTAATTTAATGAGTGTGGTGTTACCTCACACTCATCCCATTTAGGAAATAGATGAAGAGCTGTTTGCTGGTGGCTATGTTAATGACAAACACCAGCCCACAAAAGAAAGAAACATCTAAATTATTAACTGCCTGATCAGCAACTCAGTTGGGAATTTCGTTGGGTCATGAATGCTGGCAGGTTGTCAGGGAAACGAGAATAA